CATAATAATACATACTAACTTCCACTAACAGCCAGCACTGACCACCCAGGAAGCAAAAGGCTCTCATCTCCAGTCCTCACTACAACTTGCAATTCTATAGCCTCATAGATGAAGTAAAATATAAAAACAAAGCTCCGAGAGGTTAAGAGTTTACTCAGGGTCAAAAAGTCAGCAAGAAACATAGGTGGGAAGTCTCCAAAGACTACTACACTAGGCAACTTTCAGAATTTTTCTAAAGAAAGCAAAATCTCTATCTTCTTTCCAAGATTTTCTGAAGTTGATCCATTTAACTAAGTAGCCAAAACCATTTAAGTAATCATCTTGCCTTCAAAGCAACATATGATCCAGGTTTTTTTTTAAATATTTAATTTTTAGCTGTAGTTGGACACAATACCTTTATTTTATTTATTTATTTTTATGTGATGCTGAGGATCAAACCCAGAGCCTCGCATGTGCTAGGCGAGCTCTCTACCCAGCTAAGACACAACCCCAGCCCCCAGGTTTTTTTTAAACAAGTGAATATTCCAGATGAAAAATGAGGGCTAGCTCAAATAATTTACTATGATTTAAGTGTCTTGATTTTAAATTTCTTCATTTATTTTTGGTCAAGATATATATGCAGAGCTGGGCGCTGTGACACACACCTATAATCAATCACAGCAGCTGGGGGAGACGGCCCTGAGGCAAGAGGATTGGGAGTTCAAAGCCAGCCTCAGCAAAAGTGAGGCACTGAGCAATTTAGTGAGACCCTGTCTCTAAATAAAACACAAAATAGGGGGCTGAGGATGTGGCTCAAGCGGTAGCGCGCTCGCCTGGCATGCGTGCGGCCCGGGTTCGATCCTCAGCACCACGTACAAATAAAGATGTTGTGTCCGCCAAAAACTAAAAAAAAATATTAAAATCCTCTCTTTCTCTTTAAAAAAAATTAAAAAAAAAAACCCACAAAATAGGGCTGGGGATGGATGTGGCTCAGTGGTCGAGAGCCCAAGTTCAGTCCCCAGTACCCAAAACAAAAAGATATATATGTAAAAAGAGAAGAAGAGAGTAAAGGGCAGAACTGTCATTTTACTAGATTAGAATGAAGGTTAACAACTAAAGGAGTCAGGCATGGTGGCACATGCCTATAATCCCAGAGACTCAGGAAGCTGAGGCAGGAAGACTACAAGTTCAAAGCCAGCCTTCAGCAATTTAGCATGGCCCTAAGCCACTTAATGAGACACTGTCACAAAATAAAAAATGAAAAGGGCTCAGCTTTTGGCTCAATGGCAAAGTGACACCTGGCTCAATCCCCAGTACTAAAAAAAAAAAATCAACAACTAAAGAAAAAAATCATTCAAGTTTATGCAGTAAAAATTAAGAGGCAAGCAACTTCAAAGAGACTGAGTCTTATCTCAGTCTTATTCCTGCTATTACAGGGGACAGTATTCCAAGCATCAGAGACACTCCTAGTCTACATATATTGAAGCAGACATAGGAAGTGAGCTTTCATGCTCCAAAGACTACAGTGGAGGGCTGGGGATGTGGCTCAAGTGGTAGCGCGCTCGCCTGGCATGCGTGCGGCCTGGGTTCAATCCTCAGCACCACATACAAAGATGTTGTGTCCGCCAAGAACTAAAAAAAAAAATAAATATTAAAATTCTCTCTCTCTCTCTCTCTTAAAAAAAAAAAAAGACTACAGTGCAAAGTAAAGTATGATGGCTTCTTAAGCAACCTGAACATATACACCGTATCTGAAAATCACTGCTCATTTAGCAACATACCAAAACAAAATAATTTTCCTATGGTTTTTCTACAGGAACTTAAATTTAACAGGTATATTAAATAAAATGATACGAAATAATCCCATACCAAGGCTGGGGTTGTGGTAGAGTGCTTGTCTAGTATGTGTGAGGCCCTGGGTTCGATCCTCAGCACCACAGAAATATAAATAAAATAAAAGTATTGTGTCCAACAACAACTAAAAAATAATTAAAAAAATAATAATCCCATACCAATGTTAACACACAGTTATAACTATGTTTTCTGCCTGCAAACATGAACGATTGTCACTACTGAAAATTAATACACTATAAAAACTTTTAAGAGGAAATGAACAGGTACTCCTTTTCATCAAAGGAGATTAAGTAAATTATGCCATGTACATATATGAATATGGCATAATAAATTCCACTATTAGGTATAATTATAAGTACACTAAAAAATTAAAAAAGAAAAAAAAAGCTTCATGGCCTAGAGATGTAGCACAGTGGCAGAGCACTTGACTTAACATGAAGAAGGCTCTGGGTTCAATCCCCACCACCATAAAACAAACAAACAACTATTCAACAGCTTTACTGATATATATATATACAGGTATATATTTGGTATACCTGAATGACTTCTTTCTTCAAAGATGTACGACCACCTCTGACACTATCAAAAGGTCAAAAATATCATCACTAAGCCAAGCATGGTGGCATATGTCTGTAGTTTCTTCTACTTGGGAGGTTCAGATGGGAGGATCACTTGGGCCACAAGTTGGAGATAGCCTAGGCAACATAGCAAGACTCTGTCTCCACATGTACAACACAAAAAAAATCACCACCGCTGTGAAGATGTCTAACACAGCTCCTAACACAATGCATCAGACATAGGTTTATAAAAGAATAAAAAAATTTAAAGATAGAAATTTTTCAAAAGAGAAAAAAAAACTTCTGGAGGGAAATAATTTTTTAAAGCTTAAGGAAAAATCAATCCCTAGAATAGAACTGTCAGTACAAGTACAAATAGAATTACCTCACATCTCAACTTAAAATTTATATTAGCCTCCCAATTAGGCAGTACATCCCAAACTCTAAATTCAGAAAGCACAATGAGTCTGATACTGTTTTTCCTCATGAAAGGTTCTCTTTAATATCTTATCTACAGACAACACACCAACTTTTGCTTGAATAATACATACAGAGCTCTGGTGCACAATTGCAGGCCTCAGAGTCGGAGTCTGCAACCTGTCTTTCAATGTCACAGGCAACCAGTGTACAGAATAAAGTCACTGAAGACAGATAACACTTCTAGTGAAGATAATGTCCTGTGAGAGTCAGCAGGGGTGCTGAAATGACAGTCACTAAGATTTTTTTTTTAATATTTATATTTTAGCTTTAAGTGGACACAATATCTTCATTTTACTTTTATATGGTTCTGAGAATCGAATCCAGTGCCTCATGTGTGTCAGGTGAGCCCGGTACTACTTGAGCCACATCCCCAGCCCCAAGTCACTAAGATTTAATAGAGCCAATATGTAATCACTTCACAGAAATAAGAGAAAATGAAATTTCATGGATTTAGAGATGGAAAGAGCTTTTAATAACATAAACATTTAGGGTTTTCACATTCCTCTCTAGGAATTAAACAATGGCACATAAATCAGTTAAATTAATTTAAATTTTAAATTAATTTAAAAATTTAATTTAGATTTATAAGAATTGGACTAACAACCCCTAGAATTTACATATATATTATAATGTCTAAGTTTCTCTAGAGTTAAAAACAATACCCACAGTGCTAAAAGGAAAGTATAGGCCAGCATGGTGGCTCATGCTTATAATCCTTGTACCCAGGAAACTGAGGCAGGAGGATTGCAAGTCAGCCTAGACAATTTAGCAAGACCCTGTCTCAAAATAAAAAAATAAAGAGGACTGGAAATGTAGTTTGGTAGTAAAGCACCCCGGGTTCAATCCCCAGTACAAAAAAAAAAAAAGAAAAAGAAAAAGAAAATATGACTCACAATTCAAAACAAAGAAAAAAAACGAACAGAGGACAGCATTCTATCAAATACCATAAAGAGGGGCTAGGGTCATAATACAGTGGTAGAGCAGTTGCCTAGCATGTAGAGGGCACAGGATTTGATTCTCAGCACTGCATATAAATAAATATTCATTGACAATAAAAATTTTTTTTTAAAAATACCACAAAGAAATTCCTTAAAATATTGTTAATGATAGCCAGCATTCTGATGCAGTAAGAAAAAAAAAAAAGTCCACACGGTCTTCTACTCAAGAACAAACTCATCAAGCCTCCAAATACCCTTTTGGTTTCATCCACCTCAAAGTCCAGAAACCAATGTAGTCAGTCACATTGGCTGACAAGCGACGGGAATTCTAACAGATCTGAGTCACCCACTCCCCCGCAGGAAGAGGTCATCCTCTATCAGGAAGCCCACTCTGCAAATTCCCTTGTTCATCTCCCAGACTGCCACGACCATGACCCACCATGAAGCTTATTTTTCCAACCTCAGCAGCCTACCAACCCTCCTCGGCACTGACCAAATCACAATTCCCACCGGCTTCACCTTAATCCCAAGCAGCCAACAGTACTCACATGGGTGTTACTACTCCTGTGTCGAGTTCTCTGCTTAAGAAACCACTCTTTATCCCGGTGCATTTGGGTCATGGAGGACCAGCTCTTTGCTCAACTCTCCTTTCTGTGCCCAGCTGAGCTCGTGCCTTTCCAAGAACTAGTCATCAGTAAACCCCGAGGAGCTAAACTCCCCATGCCTCTTCTACCCCACTCCGACCCCAGTCTGCCAAATTTCCAGACTTCGGGAGGAGAGGCATTCCTATTAGCTTCAGGGACCATGCACACTGATGCCCCTCAAATTCCAAACACAACCCACCCCTTATCCACCCCACAATGGTCAGCCTCCGAGGCGCCAGTATCGAGCGCCAAGAGCACACAACCCGTACAGTTGAGTCTCGGTAGCTCTATCATCCCATTGCCAGACTACAAAATCCCCAAATATCAACTCAACAAGGCCCGGAGCCGAGACCAAGACCCCCATCGAGCCTCCAGCCATTGAAAGTTTCCCAGGTCGAACCCAATGCCTTAAAGGCCAAGGCCACTAGGACCGTTTCGGTGCCCCAGGCCTCTGCACGCCAGGGGCCCGGGCCGCGTCTCCACTCCGTCCCCATTGTTGCGGGTCCCAGCGGCCCGGCGGGGAGCCGGGGGCCAGCACCGGCTCTCACCTCCCGTGCCACGGATCCGGGCCGCGCCGGACCGGGCAAGGCCTAAGGACCTCACGTTCCGCCGCACCCTCCTGGACGGTGTTTACAGCAGCCGGGACAGGGGCAGTAGTAGAGGCGGGAAGCAGCCGGCCAGGCCCGGGCGCCGAGGGCTGCCTCTGGCCGAGCGTCGGTCTTCTCCGGCGGCGGCGCTCGCAGCCTCCGCTCGCGGTCCGCGCCACAAAGCGTCCCCCTCCCGGCCCGCGCGCCCGCCCACCCGGACGGGAACATGCGCCGCCGACAGAAAAGTTCCGCTGTGAGCAGACCAGAGACCGTTCTTCCTCTGAAAAGGGTATATAGAGATTCTTTCCTGAATAAAGCCGTTTATCTACTGCTAAGGACCGTTTCAGGAGTGAATGTGGTACAGAAATCCCAGGCAGATTCCGGCCTGGTTGCATGAGTGGGTGCAACGGAATAGGTTTGCACCCGCCAGCCACCAACAAAGTGCACTGATCGCTTGCTTAATGCCTCAATTGAGCCTCGGTTCCTCCTCATTCCTCAGTTGGGGATAGACTCAGAGGTTTATGAAGAATGACGGGATGATGCAAGTGCCAGGAGCAGAGATATGGGGCTCCACATTGGGATATAGTCAGTGCTAATGCTGCCAACGATGATTGCTTCTCTACTACTCTCCCCTCCAACAGAGGTTGCTCTCAACCTCCGAAGTTGATGAGCACCACGCAACTGTCACTTTTTTCCCCTTTACCCGAACCTGCCGTTCCGTTTCCTGTTGGCTGAAGCTGCCTTCAGAATTACCTGGAAGAGAAGGAGAGGCAAGAAGGATCTTTCTTAATCATGGACACACAAATGGAGATTAAGGATGATGCAAGATTTCCTCCCTAAAATTAGAAATTTCAGCGCCCTTGGGCTTGAGTTACCGATAAAAGTATATTGTTATCATACCTCTCCACTCTAGCCCCAGATTCTTTCTCCTCTCCCAAGAAGTGAATACTGGTGAAATGACGAAAAAGGAAAAAAATACTTAAGTGGATTTTTTTCTTTGAGGTTTTTATCCCTCGCGAAATTAAGAATATAAAAATTCCCTTCTCATCCCCACCTCTCTCCTCTTCTAGGCCTTCATACCTTTGGATACCAGACATGGTTAATTTCCGAGAAAAATTAGGTTATAAAAAACACAAATGTTTTCCCAAACTATGGGAATTTAAATCTACAGAAAGTGCTCCTAAAGCATCACAGCTTTCACACGTTCTCGAATTTTCCGTTCTCACTTAACCTCTTGGTTAAGTGAGATTAACTTAACTTAATTAATTCTGAGATTGGGAAATTTTACCTTGATACCCTTCTCCCTTGTCTCAAACGACTTTCCAGAAAGGCTCTGATAGCAGTTACTTGCACCTGAATGAAATTTTATCACTACCACACACGTACACACCTGGATTAATTTTAATAAATGCCGAAAAGAAACTGAAACAGAGAATGGTATAACAGAGACACCATAGGGAGAAGGAATGCATTGGATAAGAATATCCCAAGGAGGTGAACTTGAGCCAAGAATGTTAGCACTGTGAAGGATCTGGGAAGAATCCAAGGCAGAGACACCAGAGGTCAAGGGTAGTAAAAGATGCAGTAAGCCCACTTAGCCTACCCTTACAGGGTGGGAAAGCAGTCTCTTGCTCTGCAACTAGATTGTGTGGTTTTGGGGGGAATCACTGTCAGGGCTGGACCTGGGGAGGGTGTGAAGAGGCTATGGATCAATTGTCCTAAGGAATCAGCACAGATATTGTAACTGATAAATAAATTATCATGTACATTTGACAAGTCATGCAGCATAGAAACAATTGAAAAAAATCCTACAGAAAATAATTCCATTCCGTTTCCTCTGAGAAGTCCCCTATGATCTTTATCCAATTTAAAGTAGTTGCTCAATGCTGGATACAGTGGTGTGTACCTATAGTCAAGGCTGAAGCAGGAGAATCCTAAGTTCCAACCTAGAAAACATAGTGGACACTGTGACAGAAAGAAGGAAAGAATGAAAGAGAAACTACCCATCACATCACCCTATTTTATCTGTAGAGCACTTGATGCTATCTGATATTTTCTTTATCTGTTTATTATCTCTCTCCCCTAATGAGATTGTGAAGTTCAGGAAAAGAGGAACTTATCCATCTTTCAGGTTCCTCAACACCTAGAACAGTTACAGAAGAGCTCGATAAGTATCCTTTTTAAATTATTTTTTAAATACATGACAATAGTGGAATGCATTACACTCATTATTACCCATATACAGCACAATTTTTCGTAACTCTGTATATAAAGTATATTCATGCCAAATTATGCCATTATACATGTACTCTTTTTTTGCATTACAATTCTTAATACACATATATACCACAATTTTTCATATCTCTGTTTGTATTCAGTAAGTATCCTTAATAAATATAAATTTATCTTGGCCCAATCATTGAGAGGTCTGTGAAATGAAAGGGAAGGGTAGGGGATCCCTTGGAGCTTTCAGCATGACTGACAAACCCTACTTGGATTGTAATACCCTGAGTGAGGTCATTTCTCCAAGGTTAGTACAAATCATGTGCCATGGGAAAATGAAGGGCCTCCTTGGCACAAGTTTGGGGTGCACAGGGCAATGGAAGAAGACTTGCTGAAGAAGGTCCTTTAAGTATGAAGAGGACTTGAACAGAGGACAACATGAGAAAAGGGGGGCTGGGGATGTGGCTCAAGCAGTACCGCCCTCGCCTGGCATGCGTGCGGCCCGGGTTCGATCCTCAGCACCACATACAAACAAAGATGTTGTGTCCGCCGAAAACTAAAAAATAAATATTAAAAAAAATTCTCTCACTCTCTCACTCTCTCTTAAAAAAAAACATGAGAAAAGGTATGGCTACAGGAAAAATAATAAGTAGTTTTGGCTGGATTTCCAGGTTTGGCTGAGAAAACTGGGATGTGCCAGGTGGCTCCCACCAGCTCTCAGTAGCCACTCCAAGGTCACTTTAGCAGCAAAGTGTTGGTTTTCATAATAAGATATTCAACAAACTAGGAAATAAGGGAAATTCTTTAATATACAAAAGGTGTTCATATAAAATCAACACCATACTCAATGGCAAAATACTAAAACCTTTTTCTCCTTAAGACCAGAAATAAGACAAGGATGCCTTTTCACCACTGCTTTTGAACATGGTAGTGCAAGGCTTAATCAGAGCAATTAGGCAATAAGAAATCCAAATTAAAAAGGCAGTTAGATTATCTGTTTTCAGATGACATGATCTTTATGTATAAAGCTCTAAAGATGTTTCAAAAGCTCTTAGAACTAATAAATTCAGCACTTGCAGGATTCAAAATCACACACAAAAATCAGTAGGGTTTCTTTACATTAAAAATGAGGGCTGGGACTCAATTGTAGAGCTTCACCGGATACAATTCCCAGTAAGGTTGATCTGAGAATTAGTTTTGGATCATGGTGCATGTCATCCAGATATGAAGAAGCAAGTAAAAGATGCATTTATTCTTTTTGCAATGTGTCATTAGAATATGAAAAAAAACAGATGGGCTGGCGATGTGGATCAAGCGGTAGCGCACTCGCCTGGCATGCGTGCGGCCCGGGTTCGATCCTCAGCACCACATACAAAGATGTTGTGTCCGCCAAAAACTAAAAAATAAATATTAAAACTCACTCTCTCTCTCTCTCTCTCTCTCTCAAAAAAATCTACTTAAAATAAACTTTATTAAAGAGACAAAAGACTTGTATATTGACAACTATAAAATATTGCTGAAATAAGACATGAATAAATACAAAGATGTCTTGTGCTCAAAGACTGGAAGACTTAATACCATTAAGGTGGTCAATACTGCTGGGTGTGGTGGTACAGACCTATAATCCCAGCTACTCAGGAGGCTGAGACAGGAGGATCACCAGCCTCAGCAATTTAGGCATGCTGGCCAAGTGATTTTTGAGTGATAAAATTACTCAATGGGGAAAGGACAATTTTTTCAACCAGTGGTACAGGAAAAACAGGATATTGAAAGTAAAAGAATGCATTTGGTCTGAATGGTGATACACACCTGTAATTCCAGCTACCAGGAAGGCTGAGGAAAAAGGACCAGCCTCAGCAACTTAGCAAGACCCTGTCTGAAAAAATAAAAATGGCTTGGGATGTAGCTCAGTGGTAGAACACTTGCCATATGGAAGAAGTGGGTTACAGACCTAGTGCTGTTGAAAAAAAAAAGAATGCAAATCATATATCATTGGGATTGATATTTAGAATATGTACAACTATAGCAACAAAAATAAACACAATTCAGGCTAGGGTTGTGGCTCAGCAATAGAGAGTTCGCCTAGCATGTGTGAGGCCCTGGGTTCAATCCTCAACACCACATATAAATAAATAAATAAATATTGTGTCCAACAACGACTAAAAAAACAAATTAAAAAAAGAAACACATTTCAGGGGCTGGGATTGTGGCTCAGCAGTAGAGGGCTTGCCTAGCAAGGGCGGGACCCAGGTTCGATCCTCAGCATCACATAAAAAAAAAAAAATAAAGGCATTTGTTAAAAAAAAAGAAACACAATTCAAATTACTTTACACCATATAAAAGATTATTATTTTTTTTTATTTTAGTACCAGGGATTGAATCCAGAGGCAAAACCACCGAACTACATCCCTAGCCCTTTTCATTTTGAAACAGAGTCTTGTTAAGTTGCTTAGGGCCTCCCTAAGTTGCAGAGGCTGGCTTTGAACTTGTGAAATTAACTTAAAGAACTAAATGTTAGATTTAAAACTATAAAACTCTTAAGGGAAAAAAAAGTGAAAAGCTTCACTGCATTGGATTTAGCAATGATTTCTTAGTTGTCACTACAAAAGCACAAGCAGCAAAGAAAAAAATATAAACCAACTTCAGAAACACAAGTATCATGTTTTCTCTCACATATGGAATCTAGAAACAAACAAACAAAAAGACTACATGAAACTAGAAGGGGAAGGGTACTAGGAAGATGAGGGAAGGGATGGCAAAAGAAGGTAGTAGGGAGGGTAGATAAAATCAAAGTACATTATATGCTTGTATGGAAATGTCATAAATAAATAAAAGAGATTGATTTGGCTGGGCATGGTGGTTACCAGGTACACATTACTGCTTTTTTTTTTTGATAAGGGAAACAGGAATGGTCCCCACTTATGGGGCTCTAAGGTCTGGAGAGAACCTAGGGTTTTTTTTTTTTTTTGTGT